TGTGCATCACCATCATATTTCCTAATGTTCTCAATGTTTGTGTTATATAGGAAATAGGGCCCTCAAACTTGCATCTAACAATCATCTAATCACTTAAAACATTGAGTTTAACCCACATTATGTATGTGGTATTAGCATGGTATTAGCTTGGCAACCTATTCTTTAATTGTAAATTTAAACTCCGTAACCAATTCTGATATTAAATAAATGCCACAATTGCCTTCATTAGACTCTTCCAAAGTTGCAAATTGAAGTTTCTATTGCAATGAGGAAGGTATCATTGCTAAGGTGAGAACATAATTGGAGGGAGTTAACCTTGGCCCTGAAAAAGATAATTGCCGGTTCAAGCTATTGGAGACCCAGTGAAAGTGCATGGTGCCCCCAATTTTTTATCTTTCCCAGGTGTTAGGAACAACTTTATAAGAACATCTTAATCATATTATCTAAAGCTGATTTAATACTCATGCTTTATTTGTTTAACATTTCCGTTTTGTAGAAGCATTGCATCTGGTCCTCAATGTGGATTATTGGATTGGACTACAGATGGAGGAAGCAACACCTCCTCAATTATGTTGCAGGAGGTGACTAGTTCTAATTAAGTTTTAGTGCTAGGTAAGTAAAATTAATTTATGAGTTTTATGGCAAAAGTAGGGACATAGGGCACTATAGCATTAGAAATACAGATTTGTATTTCTAACACTATAGTGTTCTTTAATCAGCTTATCTTCACCAGTAATCTAGATCATTTTGAGGGGTCCACAAACATTCAATAGCTGTATTGCCGCAAATGCATACATTGATACTATTAAATTTCAATGACAAACAACTGCATACTAAAGAGTATCAAAAATCTTTTCTAAAGAATAGATTAAATAATTTAGGAAATTGGATTTTTTTAGGATTAGGCTTTTTAAAGACGCACAATGTTTTTTCCTTTTTGCAGAACCTTGAAGAGAGCCTCCATAAGTAATTTAGGATCAAATTATAGTGGCTACATGGCAGGCAGAATTAGATTTATATCTATTGGGCTTGTAGTTACCGGATGTTTGGTTTTATTATTTTCTGTATGTTTATTGCTCCCCTAAGAAAAAAAGCATACATTTCATCGTCCTTTGGTAAAGGGTGCTATACAGTGCACAGATGTAATCTTTAATGCTGAAATTCCACATGCGCAGTCCATGGAACTTGAGCATTTCAAGAATATTTTAAAGTCTAAATTTGATTGTCACCCTTGAACAAATTTGATTAAAGATGCAACAACAGTTATGTGCCTAACGTTAGGACTCACTTTTAGCTTTGTGCTCAGTTAAAAAATAATTTCCTGAAATGAATGATTGCAAAGGATTGTTGTAGTTCATTAGATGATCAATGTTTCAGTGATTAACTCAACTGCACCCTCATGTCATGTATTCTGCTATTAACGCATCCTGAATGGACATGAAATCTAAAGCGGTGTTTGAAGCAGCAAGCATGTGCAGAGAAAGCAAACCATTTAAAAATGTTATTGGATCTAGTGTGTCAGTATGTATGACTGTGTGTTAGCATGTATGTGGGTGCATCAGTGTGTGTATGTGTGTGTGTTTTTGTTTGTTCTTATGTGTCAGTGTGTGTCTGTGTTTGTGTCAGTGTGGGTATGTGTATCTGTGTATGGATCTATGTGTCTGTGTGTCTGCGTGTGTAACTGTGTATGTATCTGGGTGTATTTGCATTTGTGTCAGTGTGTGTGCTCCAATAGCGCCGAAACGTACGTTAGGTCCTGATTCTTTTTATTTTTTATTTTAACCAGCACGTTTTGGAGTGATCACTGGGGTAGGGGAGTGGGTCCCACTTCTGTCTGACCGACGCCAAAGCTAGCGACTACCAAGTTCTGTAGTATTCAGTGTAGAATCTTTCTTTTACTCCACAGCGACCGCCTTCAGCCTCCTCAGTCACTGAGGCAGATTTGTTAACAGCCGGTTTTCCCGGCTATATACAGCACCTGGTTGATACTGCAGCTCCCAGACGACTCTGGGTTTCTGAGTTTCTTTAGCACAATTTGAGACATTTGTTTCGCTTAAGAGTAACTAAGAGATACGTTTTCATGCCTGTGACATTAGTTTGCTAACAGTTTGCTTTTGTGTCTCTATGTATAGAGACCTCCTCTATCTAGCAGTATCTGGACGCTTCGGTCCCCCTGAGGCATGTTTTATACTTCAAGTCACTAGCATTTAGTTTGGTGGCCTAGACCCACCCCAGTGTACACAGCGGTTATGGTATATTTAGTTCTATTTGTTTATGTTTTGTTTGGGACCAAATTTTTTATGGTACCCACCATTAAACTTTTTTAGACAATTATTACTACTACTGTACAACACCTGCAGAACTTTCCCCGGCGTTCCTGAAGCTTTCCCAGCTTGGGATTACGCCTACGTTCTTTTACTTTTGTGTATATACAAGGGTTACCCCCTGTTTTAGTTCTGCAGTCACACTCTAACCCCCATTTATTGGGAATTCGGCACTCTGGTGCCTCCTTTTTTCTGTGTATATATGTATCAGTGTGTGTGGGAGTGTATACACTACACACACATGTACGCCTTAATTCAAACACCAACATTACCCATTCACACACATACTCCATGCAAAAACATGCTTACATTCAAACACACACACATATATATAACACAAGTATTAAGGCAATTTGCCTGCATTTGTGGGAGGTGCTGGTTTGCTACCCCTAGCCTACTTAAGGCACTCCCCTTACCTTGCTCCTTACCGTTCGAGGTCAGCGTTGAATGACCCTCCCACCACACCACTTTTAACATTTATTTCCTTTCTATTTCTTTTCCTGGGTGGGCCCTCTTCTTTCTCAGGCCTACCTCATCGTCGGTTTCGGCACACCACAACCGACTTGCTCCTTTTATCATCCTACGCTTATTCATGGTATTTCACACTGTACTATCTTAAGCATCTAACACAAATATATATAAATTATATATATATATTTATATTTTTACAGTTCAATCTCCCTTGCACTCCTGCTTCAATGTTTTCATGCTGAGTGTTAGACTGAGGTCACATGTGTATATACACATGCAAAATCCAAAAGGTAATCTGCAATCATGGTCTCTATTTAAAACTTAGCGTTTTATTTCTTCATCTAAAAAATATAAATTGCTTGTAGTGCCACAGGTGGTCGACGTTTCAGTCCCATTTTGGTACTCTCCTCAGGACTATCCTTTGATTTTTATCTATATACACACACACACACACACACACACACACACACACACACACACACACGTATGCCAATTGATGATCCGCACTCTCAGACTCCAATTAAAATGTAACTTTTATTCCTTACATTAAAAGAAAAATAAAGGTGCCCTAAATCGTCAACGTTTCAGTTCCAGGTCTGGACTTTCCTCAGGACAGCATACAATCAATATAAAACATGGTGAAATATATAGGGGAATAAGCATCATAACTTACCCCAGGTGTGGTGCCGCCCGCGTCCATCTGTGTGTGCTGCGCATGCGTGACCCCACCTCCACCTGTGACGTATGCGTACTGTAACGTCCCGCCTCACACGTTGCCACGGAGGCGCCAGACGCATCAACTCTGATTGGAGCTCGTTTAGACTGTAGGCGTGGCCTTGTCTCGGAAACTCCGCGTCCTGGCGTATCCATGGCAACACCCATAATGCCACTGTAACCAAGAGCAGAGTATAAAGCTAGAAGGCCAGCATAAGTCAACCCGTGGGGGTGCGATCATAGTATATCACTGATCAACAATGTAAGTAATTACATAAATAAAGTGCAAAATCGTGCAGAACTTATATTGAAAAAAATATATATTTACAGCATGGGGTCCATTAATGCTGCAGTGGAATGCTAGGCTAGACTACCATAGGGGTCCCTGTTTATGGCAACCATATGGGTGCTGCTAGGGGTATCACAAGTGGCTACATATACAAAAACATCATAAAAGGTCACTGACACTCTAGAGAGACCTTGAATAAAGGAGCCATTTACATTGTAAACACTATGGGCCCTGTGATGCATCCTTCTTAACTCATCACAGCTGACCCAAAAAGCACAATACCGTGTGCAATTGGAGATAATCCAATAGAGGGGTTGTATAATACAGGAATTTTACTACCTGAGATTATTCAATGAATTGTGTACCACCTTGATTAGAACTCAGAGTACATAAATAATTACTAGAGCATGTGACCAAATAAGAGGCCAGTGACTTTATAGACTAGTGCATAGGACCTTTGTCGAATTAGTGACGTACTGGTCCTAAAAATGCAGTATCAAAGATTTACAAAATATGGTTTACAAAAATGAACTATATGTAAGCTTCTCATTGAAGCCTGCTGGAGAGATGGTGTTAAGTTTATGTATCCAAAAAGTCTCTCGGTTTAGGAGTTGCTTGTCTCTGTCACTGCCCCGGTGTGATTCCGGAACATGGTCAATTCCAATGAACTTCAGAGATGAAAGAGGATGCTGAAAATCCAAGAAGTGTTTTGCCACCGGTTTGTCAGAAGTCCCATCGCGTATGGCCAACCTAATATTCGAGCGGTGTCCCCTGATGCGTTCACATAACTGCGTCTCTGTCTTGCCTATGTAGACTTGACCACATGGGCATGATAATTTGTATATAATGAATGTATATTTGCAGGTGATAGTAAATCTAATCTGGTATTTCTTGCCGTTGTGAGGGTGGTAAAAGAAACGACCAGGAGTCATATGACCGCAGATGACGCATCCGAGGCACCGTATACACCCACGGATTTGGGTTTCTGTCTTGGGCATATAACTTGCAACAGGGTCTGTATGAACTAGTAGATCACGTAAGCTCTTCGCCCTTCTAAACATTCCATAGGAGGCGGTTTAAAGGGTTGTGTGAGTGTTTCATCCTGCCTTAACATGTTCCAATTTTTGGATATGACTGTCGATAGTTTCGAAGAAGCCCCGTTATATGTGATAAGAAAAAAAACCAGGATAGGATTGTATTTCCTAAGTAGGGGCCACATTGTGTCTAGCCATATGCAGGGCCTCTTGTAGTTGGTCCAGTGGATATCCTCTGTTAAGGAACTTCTGGGTCATAGATGTGATCTGTTTTTCCATAACTTCTAAATTAGAATTATTTCGGATGACCCGCAAGTACTGGGCCTTTGGGAGTGATTTTAGTAACGCCTTCGGGTGGGCACTAGTGGCATGTAATATGGTATTGCGGTCACTAGGTTTGGTGTAGAGGCAGTATTGTATGCTGCCATTGTTTACAGAAATCTCCAGGTCCAGATAATGTACCTTATCACTGCTTATGGTCGATGTCATCCTTACCGGTGAATGGAGTTCGTTGATCGTCTGGACCATATCCAATGCCTGCTGTTCCGTTCCTTGCCACAGAATCAGTATATCATCGATATATCTATAATACCCTTTAATCAGATGTCCATATTGGGTTAAAATATTTTGCTGTTCGTATTGAAACATATAGGCGTTGGCGTACATGGGCGCCATTGCTGCCCCCATTGAAGTACCAGATAATTGTTGATACCACTGATTCTCAAATCTAAAGTAGTTGTACTGTAAAGCTATTGATAACAGTTCCAGATCAAATTACACGGGAGGACCATGGTACCATGGGGAGGAGTGCATGAGAATCTGTCTCATCGCCTCAATGCCTTGGTCATGAGGAATGATCGTATAAAGGCTGCCCACATCCATGGTTATTAGAATAGGCCTATCCAAGTTGAACTTTATTTCTTTGATTCTGTCAAGTAGCATTCTGGTGTTTTTGATACATGTGGTAAGGTTTTCAATGGGAGCCTTGAACAAATGGTCCAACCAATGAGCTAATGGTTCCAGAGCCCCCCTATTGCGGAGACTATCAGTCTCCCCGGTGGATTTAAAGCATTCTTGTGTATTTTTGGAATACTATATATAATGTGTGTTCTTGGATGTCGCTTTACCAAAAACTGTGAGAGTGGTAGGTCTATGTATCCGGCTGTCACACCAAACATTACTGCATCTTCTATGATGTTCAGAACAACTTTGGTTGGATCTCCATTAAGCGGTGTATAAACGGTGCAATCTTGCAACTGCATCTTCAATTAATCCGCTGGGCGGATTACGATACTCGTGTCATTGGCCAACTCTGATGATTTTTCTTTGACTTTTAGTGATGTTTTGGTGTCAATATTTGTATTTCTGTATGTTCTTTTTGGACTCATTGGCTGTAGTGCTTAGGAAGGTCTTAACTGAGGCTTTAATAGAAGGTGGATCAAAGATGAAGGGACCCGGAACTTGAAAGGGTCATGCTTGTCTGGTTGAGGTATCTGCTTATTTGCATAGTACTCCTTCAATCTCAAAGTTTTGCCTAGGCGGAAGAGGTTAACATTCCACTTAAACAAGGTTGGACTAGCAGTAGGGACAAAAGAAAGTCCTTTGCTAAGGAGAATTCCTCTTCACTTAGTACACGTGTAGAGAGGTTAAACACGGTTATTACCTCCTGAGCGGGGGTTTGCCCTGGAGCCCATGTGCGCCTCCCCTTGCGCCCTCTGCGAGTTCTGCGTTTTCTCCTTCTTTTCTCTGGCGACTGCGGGTGAAAGCGCCAGTCTGTGTGGCTCCTAAAAAAGGTTCGTTCGTTTGTGAATCCTGGAATTCATTTTCTGACACAGATTCCCCTGAGGTAATATCAATTGTGGGGATGGGAGGGCGTTGAATCCTTCTCCTAGGTCTGCGTGATCTTTGTTGTGAATTCCCAGACAGCCATTTATACACACGGTGGTCAGCATAATCCTGTTTAACTCTCTCAAACGTTTGTTTTTTAAACTTTATTAGTTCCTCCTTGTATTTAACCAATTCCTCTTGTAATTTTTGTTTCATTTTTAGCCCCTCTTGTGTGGACAACAAAACCGCCTGTTTCCAGATCCATTATTTTACGTTTAGTCTCAATTAGATCTGATTTAACATCTTTGATTATCATCAACATCAGATCCAATGAAGCTCAGTTCAGCACATGAGTCCAATCTTTGCAGATCGTGGGCTTTAGACGTCCTATCGTAGGGATGTTTAGAATCCTAAAACCCCTAGGAATTTGCCTCGCCTTATAGTAGTCCAATAAGAATAGACCATGTAGGTCCAAGTCCATTTCCCTCTTGGATAGCCGTAGCAATTGCAAATAAATGTCACGTACAGTGTAATTACTTGGGAGAGACAAACTAGATTCGTCCCATACAATTCTATTTGCTTCCTCTGGGGTAAATTGTAATGTCTCAGCCTGTGTAGCATAGGCTCCCGTCTGCTGTAGAAATTCATCCATGTTAAACACTCCCAAGTAACCAAACACAACTAAAAACAATATAGTGGAAAAGCCCAGCTATAATGAATGCTGAAAAAGTCCTCTTGCAAACTGTACAACAGACTTAAGGGGCGTATTCACTAAATGCTGTGATGAAATCCAATTATAAAATTCAAAAAACGCCGGTGCATAGGAAAGGCACAATGACCACTGTGCCCCCAAATTATACAATATTCCACAAATCCTTGCACTGCAGGCTAGAAGTTCCAATAGGTTAAATGTTGGATTCCAGGTCCAGGTCATTCATATACACTTGTATGCCAATTGATGATCCGCACTCTCAGACTCCAATTAAAATGTAACTTTTACTCCTTACATTAAAAGAAAAATAAAGGTGTAATAAATCGTCAACGTTTCAGTCCCAGGTCGGGACTTTCCTCAGGACAGCATACAATCAATATACATGGTGAAATATATAGGGGAATACGCATCATAAAGATATAGATATAGAGATACACATTGTGGCAGGATGGCCAGGCTCTTCACAATGAACTTCAAATGCAACAGTCAGGATAAAATGGTACTGCAGTTTATTGTCACTTTCCACAATATATACAAGGTTGTGCTCTCCCACAAAAATCAAACAAAAAGAAAATAAATCCTACTCCAACTTGGAGACTTACTAAACAACAGTATTACTAACTATTCAACTGGCCAGCTAATCTGGTTCCCAGTTTTAAACAAAATGAAATACAGCACTTTAAGCAGGTTTCACACAGTACCTTTTTCTCAGAGTCTCAGGCTTAACTGCCTCCTTTCTCCCAGCTGTTAGATTCCCTCATGTCTTCAGAGGCTAACCTTTTAAAACCCTAGTGCTGGTTAATTACATTCTCCTGGTTGATAACATTCAAGGGGTGACTCCCACTAATTAACCCCATCATGCTGGGAATAGAGAGCGCTCCAATCTATTACTAACATAAAAGGCCTCTCTGACCCTGCCAAAACATATACATACATATACACACATACTGCATCCAAAACACAAAAACACGCGCACACTACATCCACAACACACACATTCTGTATCCACTCTACACACACTGCATTCTTGTGGGCGGACATGGAAGCTGGCTCCCAAGGGCCCAGACCTTGAGCTGTGTTAGGGGCCCCAAAACTTCTGATGGCAGTCCTGCCCTCTTCACACACTGCCCTCCACACAACCCTCCCCACATACTGCTCTCACAGCACACCTCCACTGTCATTCTCCTCAGGCACTGCCCCCACACGCCCCTTCCCACACACTGCCCCCACACTGTCACCTTCCCCACACACTTTAACCCTCCCCCACACTATCATCGTCCCCCACAATGTCATCCTCCTCCACAATGTCACCCTCCCCTGGGGCAGAGTAGGAGTAGGGAGAGCCTTGGGTAGAGAAAGAGCAGATGAGCCTGGGGGAGAGTAGAAGCAGAGGAGATTGGGGGAGAGTAGAAGCAGGGGAGAAGCAGAGGAGTCTGAAGGAGAGTAGAAGCAGGGGAGAACCAGAGGAGCCTGGGGGAGAGTAGAAGCCTGGAGCAGAGGAGGGACAGGGAGAGTCTGGGGCAGAGGAGGAACAGAGTGAGCCTGGGGCAGAGGAGGGACAGAGAGTGCCTGGGGGAGAGGAAGGGCAGAGAGAGCCTGGGGGAGAGGAGGGGTAGTGTAGCTTGACGCAGAAGAGGTGCGGGGGAACCTGGGGCAGAGGAGGAATAGGAAGGAGAGCCTTGGGTATCCTGGTGCAGAGACAGGAGGAGCAGGAATCCTGTTGCAGAGACAGGAGGAGCAGGGAGAGCCTTGGGCAGAGGAAGAAGGAGCAGGGAGAGTCTGGGGAAGAGGAGATGCAAAAAGAGCCTGGGGTATGACGATGTGCTAGGGAGCTTGGCGAGCCTGGGGCAGGGGAAGGAGCAGCAACGAGTGTCTGGGGCAGAGTAAAGCAGGGGAGCCTGGGGCAAAGGAGAAGCCTGGAAAGCCTGGGGTAGAAGAGAAGCAGAGAGAACCTGGAGTGGAGGAAGGAGCAGCAGGGTTATCCTGGGGCAGAGAAAAGATGAGCAGGGAGAGCATGGAGAGGTTCGGGCAGAGGATGAGCAGGGAGAGGTTGGGGCAGAGGAGTGAGAAGCAGGGAGAGCCTTGGGCAAAGGAGGAGCAGGGACAGCCTTGGGCAGAGTAGGAGCAGGGACAGCCTTGGGCAGATGAAGGAGCAGGGAGAGCCTTGGGTGGAGGAGGAGCAAAGAGAGCCTTGGGCGGAAGAGGAGCAGGGAGAGCCTTGGGCGGAGGAGGAGCAGAGAGAGCCTTGGGTGGAGGAGGAGCAGATGTAGCCTTGGGTGGGAGAGGAGCAGGGAGAGCCTTGGGTGGAGAAGAAGCAGGAAGAGCCTTGGAAATGTAATCATTAGATACAGTCATGCTGTACAGATTGCTGTAATGGCATTTAGGCCATGCTGACCGTGCTTCAACAACGATCTGTGTGCTGGCATCCTTTGCTAGTGTTGGCTAGTGAGGTGATCAGGTAACCTGGCATGAATGCCAGACTAACATGCCCATTTTTGGATGATAGGTATGCCCCTCTTTCTGCGTTGGTCTTCCCAAATCACTGCCCCCTTCCTTCCCTGCCCACTCCTGTCCCAGGGCCATAGCTCCCAACATTGGGAGTCTAAACACTAACTACTGCAATTTTTTGAATGATTGTTTTTCTCTTTTCTTTCTTTTAGAAATATAGAAAAGCAGTTTGAAAATTAAATGAAGTAAGATTGCAAATTTAAAAAAAAAATCACATAATAATTTTCTGTCATTTTTGCCCATATTGCATATTTAATACCTTTTATCAAAACTTGAGAAGATAGCTGTTATCCTTGTTTTAATAACAATTTGAGAACCTTGTTGAATCTAGGGTTTAACAAACGGAATTTAGTGGTATGTACTGTTACACCCGCTAGCCAGGGTGAAAGACAATATGCTGGCCATGTTCTGGCATTGGGTTTATTTAAAACTTACTCATTATAGATGATGACTGCTCAGCAAAACCAGGCACAAGTGGGAACCAAATAATAGCTCATTGTAAATAGAACAGTGGCTGTAGTGTCTGAAATGTTACAATCTTTCACACACTTGGCATGTTGAGAAACCCAGCCCTGTCCACACGAACAGAGATTCCAAGGGCAAAGCAAGTCTTACAGGTCCTTATTATGGATGAATGTCTTGTGAGCTTATCAGCTAGTCCCTCTGGACTCCACGGAGACCTTGCCCATAGCTGAGTGGGTTTTGATCTATCTGTCAGACATGCAGCAACGTGGGTAATTTATTTGATGCATATTGTACAGTTGAGGGGTTTTGTCACTCTTTTAACAACCAGAAACTGTCTGCCTGTGGTTGCAAGCCAGACAATACAGAATAAATGACCACGGTTAAATGGAAACATCTGAACGGTTCAAATGGCTGGCTTTCCTGCAGCCTATTTCTCATATAATTGTTTGTCTTGGTGTTAATAACTGTGCGTGTCAGGGATACGAGCCGAACAACCTTCTCTTTGATGCTTAAAGGGTTACTCTTTTAATTCAGCAAGACAAGGAAAAACCCTAGAGATATTAAAGTAGCAAAGTAGATATTACCGTGTCTGTTCCCAATTTCCTAATATCCTTTCAGTGCTTGAACAGGAACCTTGAGTTATGATTTTCTGACATCCATTGCGCTGAAATGAAAATAAAATATAGAATATGGTTAATGCAGAAGAGTATAGCCTGCAATAATGAGTTAAATATAATATGTGTGTGAAGATCACTTTATTTATTTATTTTATTTTAATGCTATCTCTTTTCAGGAAAAGGTACAGGGAAGCAGACTCGTATGGTGGTGAGTGTCTTGGGTGTCCTCAAGCTCGTATAGTGGTGAGTCAATTAGGAAAATATGAAGACAGGAACCAGAATATAGTGTAGTATATTCTACAGGTGGTAAAATAAGAGAAATGCCACTTACCATTTTCTGGAGCTTATGTTCAGCTCAAGAAAGATGCGCCTGGGCGGTATGATCCCCGCCTGTGGATATGTCGCTCAGCTTAGTTCCTTGTTGTAGGTCAGGATCAAGGGCCAATTAAAGTGTCGACCATTCATGGGAATTTCCCTCCAAATTGTAGTGTCACAGATTTTCACCAATTACAGAAAATGAGAATAAAAACAGGAAATTAGCGCTCTCTGTTTTGTTGTTGTAAAAGCAAAATAAAAGGAGGTAGTCTCGCATAAGGAGAGCAAAACAATGTTGTAGCACAGGTGGTTTCTTCCCCACCAATGAGGTAAAAAATGTGGGTCCTCTGGATAAAATCTTCAGGTATAAAAACATACGAGTTACTGGGTGGCCACCATTTCATGTATCAGAGGCACATGGTGAGAACAATGGATGAAGCACATGGTGAGAACAATGGATGGGGGCCATTTTAACTCACAGACACTGGATTTTTCTACACGGTGTGATCTCGCTGGTATTTGGTGCACAAAGACATCGTGCAGTAGTTTTAAACTATACAATAGGGGACACATTATACAGTAATTATTTTTCGTATAGCTTGTATATGTTCTGCAGAATCTGCATTAAACTGTATCTTCCAAACTACTGAACGGATCTGGGTGAATTTTGGATATGTGGTTCACCCAGATCCCCCGGCTCTGATGATATATGGGGTTTTATGGGGTTATTGCATGTTTTGGGGTCCCTGTGATATGTTTTATAATACTGTATTTCTCTGCCTGTGATAATTATATTAACCATTGTGTTCAGTAATTATATGATAGGCAGAGGGGAGGATTTTGTGTGGGAGTGTCTGTGTGTATTGTACGGATTGATTGGTTGTATTTCAAAACTCTGTGGGCTGTACTATGTTTGTGGATTGTGAATAAAATAGGCTGTATGTGCCAGTACAGTCAGAACTGCTTGACCTCAAAACGAAGTGTCGCCTAGTTATTGGGGGAATTGGATTGTATGCTGATTGCCAGGAGTGTAAGCTGATTGTATGCTTTTCCTGCTCAGCTGCTAACAGCATTCATATGCTTGAGAGCATTCGTATGCTTCTCCGGTTCGGTGGTTGTGGTGTCTGCTGCAGTGCTTGGAGTCCTCAGGAAGCGCTAGGAGCATCCTTCAACGGAGGTACCCAGTCGGGGTGCCAGGCGATCCATTACACATGTCATCTCTCTAGAAGATAATAAGATAGATTAAATATTGTGCAGTTATTGGTTTAGTGCAAGCCACATTGTCAGCACAGCTGAAAATAATGGATTGCCTAATATAAATTAAATAATCTTTTATGTTCAAAAGTTGTATTTCCTCTGTCTTTCCCTTTATGTATATACTGTTTTGTTTATCTTTGCTAATAAATTCAAGCGCCATGTTGTTTGTTCCTTTCACCTTTAACCCTCTGTCAAGCTACTAATCTCTAGCTTCCAATAACAGGTCATGCCATGGTTCATAGTTATTCAATGAGCTGTAATCTATATAAATTCTGTTCATTAAATAAAACCTTCGTATGGTCTCAGAGCCATTCATCAGACACCTTCTTTTTCCCTTGTAGTGGGAGCATCCTATTCATTCTCATTAGAATGCTCAGCTGTGCACTTAATCAATAATGAACGATTTGACTGCTCTGCAAAAGCTGAACAGGTATTTTCATACATGCCTGTAGTTATATTCTATTTTAAAGTAACAATATAGTGTTAGGCATACATGTATTTATTCCTAACACTGTAGTGCCCTCACCACCATTTAGGTTATTGGAACAGGACTGCCAGGAATATAAAAGCTAGTTTACTTACCTTTTTTTCCCCATGTCACACCTTTGTCCCAACTAAAGCTCCGCCTCTTTGGCTGAGATCATCAAGATCGATGATCACAATCAATCCAATGCTTTCCCATTTTGTTCCTTACACTTATCTTAATTGACTAATATTATATATTGTGGCTGGTCATGTGTTTGTGTGGGAATGGAATGGTGACTGGAGGGGTGGATTGGGGGTAAGGTATGGGGTACTGGGATAGGGGTCGGGCACCCGCACTCTAGTCCCCTGGGGGGGGGGGGAGAAGGTGAAAAAGGTAATTGTACTGAGTCAGTGCCTGGTGTCCGTTGCCCTTTTGTTAAAGCTATGAGAAAGTAGCTGAGAGTTTGGGTTTTTAATTTAGTTTTAACAAGGTAATGTAGTGTCTCCCTCCAGCAAGGGGTCCCAGGTTTTGTGAAAGGGTTTTGGGTAATCATGGATATGGGCCGTGAATTGTGTAGGTATAGTAGGCTGTCTGTATGTCACCTCCAAACTTTTTTGTAATATAATATTCCTTTCATCAAGTTTTAAAAGGAAAAATATTTAAAAAACAAACAAACAAATATGTAAAAAAAAATCATCCCTACCTTAAAATGAACTATGTGGTAGAAAAAAAAAATGAGGAAAAACTCATCCCTACCCTAAAAATTAAGTTTATGTAAAACAAAGTGAAGAAAAACTCATCCCTACTTTTAGTATATAACAGTTTCAGTTCAGCCATATACATGCACCTTGGGTTGAAAACTGACAGTCACTGCGCAGGGAATGAAGCAAGGAAGACCATAGAGATTAACTATCGACTTTCAAACACCATCTGACCAACGGTGCGTGTATATATTGTTGGGAAATACAACAGCATGTACTGCAAAATATGTATATAATCAGTACTTGAACTGTAGATGGCGCTGTGCAGTTCAGAGTACTGTTTATATATGATATGAACTTGTTGGTACTCACAGGAAGGAAGTTCTTTTTTACCTATCAAGTTTTTTCACTTGCTCTATGCCCTCTTCCTTTTACCTTTCACCCTGCTGGCCGTTGTTTTAGTAACTGACATGTTATAACTGTTTGCTGTTTATATACACAAGTAAAGACTAATGTGCTTCTTCACAGTCTGCCAGTGTCTCTTTTTGATGCATAACCAACATATATATGGCTGAAAAATCCTGTTATAGACTAAAGCCAGTGAAGACTTTTTCAAAATTTTTACATATACTTTATTTGGAGAAAAAAAAAATATTTCCTTTCAAAACTTGATGAAAGATGAATTATTATTAAAAATAGTTTTGAGGTGTCAGTTGTCCTTTTAAAGGACCACTATAGGCACCCAGACCACTTCGGCTTAATGAAGTGGTCTGGGTGCCAGATCCATCTAGGATTAACCATTTTTATATACGAGTATGTTTTCCTGGCACTACAGTGGTCCTTTAAGACAGGACAAGAGCATCCATACAGAGCATTGTGCATTCTTGGTATTCTTGGTATTTTAACATTGCAGAGAAGCAAATGGAGACGTGTTCTACCTTCATGCCACTTTTAAATTTGAAGTGCTCTGTGTATAATCCTGTGCTTCTCCTTTCACATGAGATAAACATCATTTTGAAAGACTGGGACTCCACCAGGGGTGGGCTGGTACGGTTTACCTGTCAACTATTGACTCCAATAAGCAATGAGTGATGAAAATTTCATCTTTCTATGTATGCTGAATGTGGGCAGTACTATATGAATAGATTTTAATTGTTCATATTTAGTTATTAAACCCACACCACAAGGGTTCCATTCTCTCCATAACATAGTGACAGGGGATGTGGGCTCTATCCTGTAGAATCGATATTTTTCGATTCTCATTTGTATTTCTGCAATATTGCAAATTCTCATATAAGCAAAAAGGCTATTTTATGTATTTAGACTCAATATTACATTAACATGTTTGGTTAGTTTTGCATATACGGAAAATATACGTAAAAGGAAGGGACTGTATAAAGTCAGAATACTGTCCCAGTCTGTTCCTTTTATACCCTGATTGGCAATAATAAGGAGAACTTATGGGTCATTGTCAGAGGGCATTGCATATTGATCGAAAATCCTAGGATACACAAATCTGTATTTTAACAAGAATTTTCAATGCAGGTATAGGTGGTTAAGAGTGCATTGATATGAGCTCTTGTACAGATGGGAAGGGCTGCTAAACCTGAGGAGTTCCCATTTTTTTTAGGTCTTGACCCCTATCTAGAACTCCAGTTTGAAAAAAGATTACCTATGTGTAACGGACCGTTTTGCACAAAAGGGGAAAAAAACGCTTAGACGATAATCCCCCTTTCAGAGACAGGCACAGCTACTGTAGAATCACCAAAACTCACGAACCGCCAATAAGTGAATGCTCCAAACTCCCGAATGGCATACAAGGGAATAAGGTAGCACTTCAAATAAGCGAACAGGAACCATACGAATAGCTGCTAGTAGGCGAACAGGAAAAGCAGACGAACAGCTTACACTCCTGGCAATCAGTCTCTAACAGCATACAGTGAATCCCCCCAAGAACGAGACAAGGCTCCGTGTTGGGGGTCAAGCAGTGGTCTGAGGTGCTGGCACACCCAGCCTGGTTTTTATTACAGTGTTTCAAATACAGGACCACCCACAGGGAGGGATAAAACAACCAATCATATCACAGTTACATCCCACATATTCCCTCCCTTTATCCTGAGAGGAAACTCAATTATACAAACAGTTAAAACATACTTTCTACCCAACTTTCATAACTCCAAAACCATACATCACATTCACATAAAATTACATATTCACAATCAATCCATTCAGGGGAACAACATATTCAAAAATGGCACAAATCAGACAAGGGGTTCAAAAGTTAGTAAAAAGTCCTTTGTGACTAAATGAAGCATGGCTTTCTGGCCCAAACCAGTTTCAGAGTCTTCTATCCTGGAGATAAGTAATTCAATTATCTCCCAGGACAGACACAAGACTCCATTAAGCACATGGTTGCAAAGAGACACAAAACACTTTAAAATACATAAAGTCACATTTATTACATAAAACACAGACATGTAACATATCCCCAGATAGCTCAGGTCCGAGCGCACATTATTAAGTGAATGGCGCTCAGACCACACGAATACAGTTTAATCGCCATGGAGCCAAAGTCTTTACAGTCAGTTTCATACGAATGGGCTCCATGGGATTCCTATCTGGGGTATAACACATTCAAACAAATCTACCGAACCCCAGGCAGAAAAGCACGAATGAAGCTTTTCTGCAGGTAAAAAAGATGTCTTTTAACAGGGGGCCATAGTCCAAAGGCAGCAGGCGAGCAACCAGGCTTCTCCAATGCAATGTGGCGAGATTGGTCTCGTCACATCTCTCCCCTTTTCCAAACAGACTAACAGGGTATCTGACCTCCTGCCGGTCAGTGCCCTTGTTAGTCCAGCAGCCCACCCACAACAAATAATCAACAGCACAGCCCACCCACAATAAATGGTTACTACACCTGGGTAGAATAGAAGCTTGTCCATGTCCAGGTGCCTCACCACGGCTGTGCTGGGTACGGGTACGCTGACTTGGTGGGTTGCTGCGTGGGCAGAGACCAGCGGCACTCTGCCCTGTTGCCAGCGCTACTGGGAGGGTAGCCTGGTGGAAGCCTGGTTGTTGAAGGGGGAGACCGACTGTCTCCCCTTTAAATACACCGCTCTGCTGCTGGAGACTGACTGTCTCCCCTTTAGATGCACAGTCCTGCTGCTGGAGACCGACTGTCTCCCCTTTGGTTACCCATCTCTGCTGCTGGAGGGGGAGACCGACTGTCTCCCCTTTGGCTAAACAGCCCTGTCGCTGGGGAGAGGGGGTAACAGGCTCCTCTCCCGATAGAACACTCTGCCGCTGGGGAAAGGAGACTGAGCTCTCTATTCCCTGCCCATTAATGATCCGCCGCTGGGGCGAGGTGGTAGCAAGCTCCTCTCCCATACATACTTTCATCCTCTGTGGAGGGAGACCGACTGTCTCCGCTCCCAATGCAGTGTCCTGCTGCTGGGGAAAGGAGACTGGGTTCTCTATTCCCGGTAGGACACTCTGCCGCTGGGGAATGGAGACTGGGCTCCCAATTCCCTGCTGTATCTCCCGCTGGGGAATGGAGACTGGGCTCCCAATTCCCAAAAAATCACGCTGCTGCTGGGGGGCAGGAACAACTACCTCTGCCCCCTGTAGCTCAGCCTGCCGCTGGGGAGGGAGGACGCTGCTCTCCTCTCCCTGCACTTCACACTGCCTTCCCGGCATATCACTCTGCTGCTGGGGGGCAGGAACAACTACCTCTGCCCCCTGTAACTCAGCCTGCCGCTGGGGAGGGAGGACGCTGCTCTCCTCTCC